ACACCCTGTGTAGCATATTCCCTTACAAGATTTTCAAACGTGGTATTGCGGCCTTACCTCCATGACTCTTACTCATCAGCTAGGCGGACTCCACCGACCTCTATCTGCCTGAATGATTTCTTTTCTATGGAAGCTGGCATAAAGTAATACCATACTGTGTCATGTATTGATTCTTTTTCCAGTCCCTCTCTCTTGGATTTCTTGGTGGCTCGAAAGCATAAATCATCTGCAAATGATCCTTGAAGGAAATATTGTAATTATTATTCTTGACGCATGGTCACAAATTCAATAGCCCTTATTAATTGAACATGGAGAGAAATATGATGTGGGTAATTCAATGGGACCAGAGAGCTTTCCGTCATCCCTCATGTTTAGGACTGTCCTGTTTGGCATTCATGACAAATCTCTGAATGCTTCAGGGTCAGGATGAGGGTCAGAGGGAGTGTCATTTTAAACCTTGACAAACAGCCGCTTTGCGATTTGATTTGCTGTTTTACTGCTTAGGAGGAACTTGTCTGTATGTGATCATTGTTTACGAGATGATTACAAACTGAATATCTTAATAGAATCCAGGTATCACAGAAACCAACGTTTTTTTCTCTTACTGTACTTTTGCTCATTGTTGCTCACCATCTACTTTTGTCGCTTCCTATTGAGCTTTCTGTCATGTTCCTTATCTCTTGTCTCTCTTGACGTGTGTGATGAAGCATAAAGACAGGAAACGGACAAGCTAGCCGCCCGGGCAGCCGTTCACTTCTGTGTCCACCTGTGTTATAGCAGCCAGGAGTGGACAGCAGGAACGCACGCCTCTCCTTCCCCGGTGTCCTCTATTGTGGCTTTTCATTTACTCAGATCCTGCGAGTGTGAAGGCTGCTCTTCGCTCCGCCAGTCCTATTCCGGCTCAACATATCTTAGCGTGGAGCCCCAGTGGTAGGATGAGTGAGCCTGTATGAGGCTGGCTGTAGGAGGGGTGCTGCTTGGCTAGTTAGCACTCATCTGAGACCTGTCTTTCTCCCCCGCTTACCTCACCACAGCCGTGTCTGACAGAAAAACTGTTAACCTAAGAAACACGAAAACTTAAATTGACTGCAAGAGTGGCATCAGATATATTAGGGTGACAACTTAATTAATTGGAACTAAAACATTTGTTAGGCTATTACATGATATGCGCTTATATACTGCCTAAGAAACTAGATTACAAGGAAACTAGACCAGTGCTGACTGAGATTGTAATACCACTTTCTAAGATTGTTTTCCACTGAGCTGTGATATAGCCAGAACTAAAGTCAAAGTGAGTAATTCTCCTCAAACAACATACTGTATATCACATGATGGCGCTAGGTCAAAGGAGCTTTAAGGACATTAGAATGCATCATCTGGGAAAAGTGAATGTCTGGACAAAATATTGTGGCAATATTGTGACTGTGGCGGTCCAGTAGCACTGAATCTGTGAACATGAATGAAAAAACAGGGACTCACTAAAGTTGCAGGATTCATGCTCAATCCATCGTATTGTTGATGGTCTGACAGTCCAGGACAAAATGGTGGATAAACCATCAGACCAACTTTGCCACTACCCAGTATAAAATACTTATTTCATATTTGATAATTTTATCATGCTCTTTCACCAATAACATTTAATGAAGCAACCATCCTCTGTATTTGTTCGATGCTAAAAATCACTGAGGGGTCAATGCGGGAATGTCAGCTTTACCTTGCGGAAAACACAGCCTCTACAGCGTTTCCATGTGAAGAGGAGGACGGAAAAAAACCTTTTTATTAGAAACAAGGAATGAAGAAACAGCCTCAAACATTTGAATTCATCTGGCTCAGCATAATGCTCGCTTTACAATTTAATGCCACACAATAGGGACATTTAATTATACATGATGTGGATCATAAAGTGTATGCTGAAATAGACATTTTCCTCAGTTGAATCACCATTATTTTTCTCTGCCAGCTGAAAGTTACGTGCAGCCCCCCCCCCTCCACCCGTATTACAGAAGTCCGAATCTCTTAACCTCTTTGATGCTTCCACAGCAAAACTGCAGTCTGTACTTCCATACATCTGATGTTGAAAATGTAATCAATGACTCATACATATTAAACAGAAATATGGAGTAATACTACAGCAAAATAAAGCAGTTGAATTATTATTTTCTCAACTGTTGTTACTTAGCACAGCGCTTTCACTTCCCTGACTCCATGCAGCAATCTAGAAGTACTTACTCTCGGTGTGTCCTACATCTTAAAGGTCCCCTATTATACTGTTTTTCATCAATATATTATAGGTCTCAGATATATACAAAACATGTCCCAAGTGTTTGGTTCGAAATACCAAACCGATCATGCATTGTAGCATCCCATAAACCCCTCTGTTTCAGCCCCGTTTCAAAAGGGCTGTTTCTCAATATCAACCTATAGTAACCAAAAGTTCTGTAGCATATAAATAGGGGACAGGAAATGCATCATAGCATATTGTCCGCAAGCCCCCGGCTTCCTTTATTGTTTGCCCTTTGATTGTCTGTTTGTTTTGTTTGTCCACCATGTACAGCGACCTTGGGTCCCTTCAAAGGCGCTATATAAATATCATTTATTATTATTATTGTTATGGGCATTTAAGGATCCTAGACATTGGATGATGAAGCGTATACTGGAAATAGGGTGCTGTAAATAAAAACCATTTAAGAATACTTCCTTGACTTTCGGAAGGACTCACTGTACTTACAACATCAATAATATCAATCTTCTCATATCTCTTGCCAGAAATCGTTTTAGCAACATATTTTATCAATTAAGTAAAAGCTGTAAATTGTACTGGGGCCACAGCAGGAGCCCATTACAAAATAAGCAATATTCAAGGGCTCCAGTTATCAAAGCTACACTCTTCTGCAGAGAAAAACAGACTAGTTGAAAAGTAGGTTTACTTTGTTTTCAATTTCTCCTTCCCAGAACAAAGCAAGGAGCAATTCATCTTGAAATAGCTTTGTATGATTTATTAATTCTAATCCATAACAAAGGCTTGCTGATTCTGATCTTGTTGGATCTGGGTTTGGAGATATCCAGGTTTATTTGTCTTGTGATACTCCCACTGTTTCTAAACAAGGCTTCTGCCGCTTGGAGACAAACTGCCTCCCAACTACTTGTAGTAGTGCACACACTGAAATACACTGAACAGACTGTCTTCAAATAATCACAATTAAAGCTCCATGATTTGAATGTCTTAATTAAAAAACAAAGCATAGATTAATGAAATGTTGAAGCTACTTTAAATGTAATCTGAGCCTGGCCCATACAAGGACTCTAATTTGTATTTCTCGTTTCCCTTCCACTAGATTGACTGCACATTTTGTGAAGATATAAAAGTGTTTTGTAGATGTTATTTGTACGAAGGATGCGCCTTAAATAGACCTCAAATACTTTTACAAATTTCTTTTTTTGACACATGGTGGTTAAACAAGCACTCTGCCTTCCTGAAATAAGATCTTTATTCACATGTTCATTCAGATGCTATTCTTGTATTGCACTTGGAATTGTAAAAACGTATAGACCCATTGAGTTTGCTTGCTTTATCAGAGCAGCCTTTAAGAATAGTGTATTTTATAATGGTTGGATAACATTCTTCATAATGGGTATGTTAGACCTTCAAGAAATTACAGTAGATGCTTGTTGCTGCACAAAGGTACATTTTTAAATCAATTATATCAAGACGAAAATCGATTTTCGACAAAAGTCTGTAACATAACATCAGTGATCTATGTATGTAATCCTGTTGTTTCCATATTGTGTGTGTATAAGCACAATTAAGCACATTTCAGTCCATTATGTCGGCCTTGAAAAGAATAAATCACATTTGAACAGTCAAGTGCGCAGTCCTGTGGAGAGAGCACTTTGCTTTCACTTTACTTGAAACGCAAATGCTCAGACATGGGAGTGAGGGTAACATTACTACCCAGGGACCAGGAGATGACTTTGTTCCTGACTGTTCTGTCTTGCCGAATTATCAAGCTTTTCATTTGTCAGCAGTGAAAATCCACATATACAACGATGCATCTTGCCAACAAACAACAAAAGGATCCTGCTTGTTCAGTAAAAATACAAATTGCTCTGTGTTTCCCAGCTGCTCAGAAGTCTGTGGTCCCTGTCGTATTCATATGGTCTAGAGCCGAGTGTTAACTCTGAAGCAGCTAACTGATGCTTTACGTAGGATAGCTGCTGCCCCTGGGTGGAGGTCTGGACCTGCCTCCATCCTCGTATCCTCCACTGGGACAGCAGCACGGAGGTCAAGAGGGCCATCATGAATCACAAATCCCTGTCTGATTTGTAAACTGTCGGGGCATTGATTTACATGGATGATCAGAGGAATGAAATCCTCTGGCAGCCAGAAAGAAGATGGTGTGGCGAAGGAGTGTAATCACACAGCAGATTGCTCTTGAGAGGAAGGTCAAAGTCTTTTGATTTAAACATTTTTTTTTATCTGAGCTTTGCTGATCCTCAACCAATGTGGGAATAGCCCATACTAAAGGAGTCTGCGCTTAATTGTAATTATGTTTATTTCTATAGATGATTTGATAAGTATCCATAACAGAATGGTTATCAGAGCATCACAACATTGTACATGTGTGTCATTAGATTTGACTTTAATAGTACTTTTACTTTTGCTTGTCTCATCCTCGCAACCCAAGCCAAAAGCTCTTACCCCTTTTCTCCCCTCCATTTTACTTTAAGATTAGAATAGCTGTTGTATTTCAATTTCAGTGATACAGCAGCAAGCTTGAAGCAGTCAATACACTAAGTTAATTGTAAAGAAAATGGATACGTTTTTGTTGCAAAGAGTGCTTGATTGTTATAGCCTTAATTAAGTTATGATGAAAAACTCAGTCATAGCAATCATTGCATATGTCTAGATTTTTCTTTTTTTGTACTGCTTCTAATGGCCGTCACTCACATAAGTTTTGTATGAGCTTTCCCTGACTCAGCTCTTCTCTTCTGTCTTTCAGTAGCCAACTGTCGAGTGTTGGAAGGACTACAGAGATATTCCTCCATCCCCACATACCTGCCTGTCAACTACCAGGTGCTCAACGCTGACTTGGCTTTCTTCCTGAAAGAAGCCAACCAGGACTTCATGAGGAACTCTAGCCTGATGTCGCGGACTGAGCCCTTCTTCATCTACCAGGCCAGAAGTTTGCCCTCCATCAACACCAGCTATGGGCCTCTGTCTGTGGAGCAACCTGTCCCGTTAGAGCTCCTACAGACCCCGGGGACATTTCCCGCCTCTTCTGTTTTTACCTTCAACTGGAAGGTGCAGACCTTCATCATGAAAACCAGGATTCACTTGGCCAAGCCCAGGGTCCAGGTGCTGTTTTATGTTGCCGGCAGGGACTGGGACGACTACAGCGCCATCGACAAGCTGCCCTGCGTGCACATGTTTGCTTTCCATGAGACCCAGGAAGTGCGTGGCAGTTGCCAGCTGAAGGGGGGTCTGGGTTTGTGCGTGGCCGAGCTGGAGCCCTTGGCCGGTTGGTTCAGCCCACCCAGCGTAGTGCCGGGCCGCCAGAAGAACCTGGAGATGTCTGAGGGCACACCGGTGGAGCTGTACTACATGCTGCAGTCCACAGAGGGGGGGGAGTGCCACTCAGAGGAGGCCAGGAAGGAAAACATCATCCACTCAAGCCAGGAGGGGCTGTTTGGTTCCTACACCTCCACACCGCTGCGGAGGATCGGGGGTGTGAGGCTCTACCAGAACCCCGCTCCTCCACCCCTCGCTGAACACAGGCTGGATAATAACTTTATGGTCCTGGTGCCAGCCTCACCCATGAGACAGAGGGAAACCATCTCTGCTTTCATCAGCGTGGCAGCCTTCTCTCCCGTGGAGATGTTTACTCTCAGGTAAGAATGCTTTTCTCTCTGTTCATTTGTGAAGACATTTTCAGTCTCAGACTTTGGTCATTTTAGTCTCATTTAAAGATTATGCCAGAAACCTTGCATTTTAAAATATATAGAAATGTAAATGTGGCCTAACCTGATTATCCATTTGTCTTTCTATAAGCAAACCTTGAGATTAGGAATCACATTCAGGGACTGTGAGAGCAGGGAGTCCTCAACTCTCCCTCCTGCTCGACATGATCACTTAAATTGTGTTTCATTATAACCACAATTGAGTTGTTCTCATTGACTTATTTTTTTATTTTGCTCTGAATTCTTACAACTGAATACATTTAAAATAACGATTCGATTGCAGTTCACAGATGCGACCTGTTAACCAAGGTAAACAGCAATTCCTCTGCTGCGTGCTCTGAGGCTGTCGATGAAATACATATTGATCGCTGAGTGGTCAAACAACATAAGCGTAAACAGACACTAATGACTACTAGAATGTCTTTACCATTCGATTGGCCGCATTGGAATTCAAAACGAGTTACCAGAGAGAGTTAGAGGAAAGATGGCTGCTTGATTCTGTTCCCACACATCTTCTACAGTACATCTGTAAAGGCATGCTTCTCTATTTTAAATAAGTGATACTTATTATTACCTGTATTCTGAGAGGTCTGTAGAGAATAGGTGAACATGTTGAATCATTATTTTTCAGTTAAGTGATCTTTATCTTGCATTTCATTAAACAAATGACAACAAGTCTGCACATACACACTCACAAGGCCACTCCAGGGCCTGAGCTATAAACCATCAGTAAACAAACCCAGCAATCATTTTAGTTTTAGTTAACTTCATAAAAACTATACTCTAAAGTTATTTTGTTTATATTTTTATCTATCCACCTTTACCCTCATCAAGGTAACCAAGCATTTCTTCAACGGTGAAAACAGGAAGCAGGGGGTTATCTCTGGGAAGTAGCCTGATTCAGTGAAGCTGCTGATGGGTAGTAATTACAGTGAACAGATGAGACAAAATGATTTAGATAATGAATGCAATGCAAATGAGGATGTCATTAATTAAAATGCATGTCCATTAATGTAATGACTGAAGCCGATCTTAATCACACTAGTTTGGATCATTTATAAACCTTCCGAAAAGCTGCAGCACGAGGTCAAGACTATTTTTCAACCTGTGTGAAACGAAAACAAGCCGCATGCTGAATAAGAGGGTTTTCTGCTTAGGCAAGGCAAAAAGCACAGAGGCAATTTTAAAATGAAACATATTAATGTTTATATAAGGTTGTTGCACTCTTATTTTCATTTTCCAGTTGTTTACTAATGAAGATAATTTACTCGGCTAACAAAAAAGATACACAGAGAGTGCTTTAGGCCCCAAATCTTAGCAACAGTAAACAAGTTGACAATAGCTGTGAAGTTTTAACAAGCCAAACAAATTCTCCAGACTTATGTCCTTCCCGTGCTTCATTTAATTACAAAATAGTTGTACTGAAGTGATAAGGCACTGGAAACTTTTTTCTCTTTCCTGAATTGAAAAACATTTCTTTCATCAGGCAAATTTGCAGGCGAGGCTGGCCACAGAGGCGATGCCTGTGGTGTTTTTATTTGGCAGCGTAGCGCCATGGCAGGCGCAGGTTGGCCATCTGAGAGGGGCAGATATGGAAAGGCCTCTGTGTGGTCCTAGGTGATAAGGCTGTCCTCATACATGCATTTGTTAGGACGCTTAATCACCAGAGAGAGAAGACTTTGATCTCTATATTCACAACATCATTATCATCTGTGTACTACACACTTCTGCGTTAGCCATTGTTGGCTGTGTAGCCGTGCATGCAGAATGAGCTTATGATCCCGTGAAATCTGTCAAACAGACCTTTCCGCCACTTTAGCTTAAAAATGTTTATTAGATTGCAAGTTTCGTACATTGAAAAACAAAATGTCTGTCTTTCATATTTATAGCTCTACATCGGTTTCAGCATGAAACAAGATATACATGCTTATTTTCTCCACCTTCCTCTCATCCATTATGTTTAAAAGTTCATGCTGTGCAATGAAAAGTCATTTAATTTTTTTTTTAATAGGCAATCATTCGGCCAATTTATTGCTTTGTGGATGCCCAGCGTGGTATGCCTTACTGAGGTATTTCTGTATTAACGTGCTGATTTACATCTGATGGGCTCTGATTTGATTAGACCTCCTCTGTGTCACTGTAGTTTATTTTTGCTTGAATTAAAAGGGATTTTGGCATGGAGCATTAAATAGTTGTCACTATCCTGAGACGTTTTGCCATGAGTTCATTCTATTTCCTTCCTCCTCTTGCTTCGATAAGAAATAATTGTCCACTATGAGAAAAAACTACATGATTCAGATGCAAATTGCCGAGTTTTGGGGATCCAGTTCAGTGTAATCATGCTCAAAAAATATTCTTCTCAATAATGGGTACATTAAAAGTGTGCGTTATTATTACAGTGTTCACCAAATGCTCAAAAAAAGGATCACATTTTAAGATGATGATGATACAATTTATTTTGAAATTGAATGTATATAATACAGCAAATACATTTGGAGAAAGCTGTAGTGACACCCAAGTTCTGTTTTATTTTTTCAACAAACAAGTGATAATTTCAGTTTATGTGCTGAATTTGTTCACTGATGATGTGTAGTATTTGTTTAGGCATATTAACATAGTTATTGTTAGGGATTGCAGTCTTGGTTAAAGTAAATTGAAGCCTGCAACAGGACATATCATTAACATTCACAACCCTAATCTTTCCTTAACCAAAATGTACATGTGCCCTAAATCTAGTTTAAATGATGCTATGCGATATACGTCAACCACTTGTTACTACATTACATATCATTGATGACATTTTTGACAGGTTTACATATCTTGCAGTCGTATCAATACCAAGAGGTATACATATTCTGGAGATTTACTGAATACACATGGAATTATAATTATGGGCTCGTTAAAACTGCTTATCCAATCCACCTTAAACTCAACACTGACCGATACACCTGCCAAAACAAAGTTGCATCCCCTACTGTAATCTCGCATCATCATCAACCAAGCAAATTGTAGCCTGCGTGCTAGTAGGTGGAGGAACAATTTATTGTGGTCCCCTCTCGATACACTGCAGTGTGTGGATAACTCACTGCTAATAAATATGAGCCGTATATCTCAAGAGCTTGCACTCGACAATGCACTTGGCTCCTCTGAAATTCGCTCCCCAAGTCGATTGAGAAAAAGTTTTCGAGTAAATCGAAGGACAGACATACAAACAGAGACTCCTTCCAGTAGGATAACATCTTATGACGGTGTTTACATTTCTTGTCAATGTCAAAGGACATCATGAAAACACAAATTACTGTGAACAAAGCTGGATTAGACAGGATTAACTCTTTGGCAGCACTATTCCTTCTTTGATATCTCCCTGCTTTACTGTTCTGGCTGAGAAAGCGTATCACATCATAATATATACTGTAATGCTGTTTTATCACAAGCAGGAGGTAGTCCTTGTCATTTTCAAAGAATATAGACATTTTATGCACACCAGCAGATTCTGCACTGTTGCAGGGCAGTCGAAAAAAGGAAAGGACGGTAAAAAGTCAGTTAGGCATTTGAAGTTATTACATTTAACATGCAAGTAATGTATAAGCTGGACTCATTATCATAATATGTTTTCTTCTATCACTGTGCAAGCAATTTGGATCATTATGTCATTGATAATTCATTATTATATTTCAGTATAAGATGTTTCATATGCAAATCACATGCAGTGAAAAAGGAAATTATTTGTAAAGATATTTTCCTCCTGTAGTCTCTTGTGCTATCGAGACAAAAAAAAACCTCGGCACAAAAGGAAATTGCTCTATTTTCTGTCTTGGTGCAGTGCTGCCTGAGTCACTGTACAGCCAGCGAGGGTTATTACATGTGCATTGTGCTCCCCGGCCAGCCATCATTTTAACGATAGATTAGTTGATTCAAGTAACACAACAGTTCACAAGAGCAGATGTTCTCCAAGAATACTGTGTTCCTTGCTTTGAATGTTATTTACCGTACAAAAAATCTCACCCTCTAATGTAGTGAAGTAAAGGAACACTCACACACCACTGTTGATTGTCTGAAGAAGGATAATAAAAGGATGGGGAAGGGGTTTTAAATTCACATTTACTTTTTTATTCTATAGGTTCATTTTCTTTGTCAAATTACTCATTACTCAAACAGGCAGTTACTTTAGCATTGAGAAGTGAGCCTCAAGCAGGGATGAGGAGCTACTACAGATGTCAGTTAACCCCCATTTTAGTTTTATTTTCAAATTAGTTGTCTTCAGAATAAACAAACACAGACTCAAGTGACTTCACTCAAGGCAATACATAACAAACAAAACTATGTTTACCCTTTGATAAAGACAAAAGAATACAACAGTTGTGGTTTACCTTTAATAACTAAGAGGCAAAGCATACTGGAGATGTTCTCCACTGAGAAGATATTCTGCACCAGGAGACAACAAATATATATTACATTTATGGCAAACAATACAACATGGTAAAATGTATCCATTCTGAATAAAGATCTAAAGAAAAATGCTTTATACTTCCACTCAATGAACAAATGATCTGGGCACAGGTGGCAGCTCTTCACTGCAATACTTTCTCTTTGCCCCCTCCACATAATTAGTTTGGCTTTCTGTTATGGTGCAGAATAAAGCTTAGGGGGGAGTTGTATTGGCTAATGAAAATTGAATGGTTTAATATTATTAGAACTGTCAAATTGAGGCACTCAAAACTGACATAAATCTAACAAGAAAGGTTGAAAAAGATAAAAGTGCTCTCCTGGAGAGCCAATTCGTCTTCTCTTCAACCCGTAAAGAGTGCATTTGAGAGCGACCCTACGTTTTGATCTTTCAAGTGTCTCTAAAAAAACCTTTTTTTGATCTTGCTGCCTTGGATGTCATTTGTCCTTCCACTGAAAAGAGGCTGAATTTTAAAAAGATTGTG